GGTAGAGATGCTTTCATTTTCAGCTCCTTTGCATTTTGAGGATCAGTTTTCACTTGTAGGTAGGGATGTTCTGGGAGTAGAGCAGTGGTGGCTGTGGGCAAAGGTTATAGGAAGGTTCTCCGTGATTCTCATCTTGCTTGCTTACCTTGAGAATTATTTTCAAGGGGCTTTTACAATCCTTTTTACCTTAGACAGCAGGGTAATTGGTAATTGGTGTTCAATTCAAAACGCTTAATTCATAAGTATTGGATGCAGGCAATTAAATTCATATTCTGCCTGGAAGCAAAGTGGGTTTTCTAGTATCTCGGGATGCTTTGAGCTCATTTGAATGCTTTCATTGTTCTTAGTATTGCTATGTCGTCTGTACCACAAAAATATGTAGTTTAATACAAGGTGGCACTGTATGGGATTTGCTCTTTTAAAATTAATTGTACCTGAGGAGATTTTAAAAGCGAGCAGTTAAATCTTTAGAGAACAAGTAGAGACATAATTACAATGAAGAACTATTGCTTTCGCTTTGCTAATTTATGACAGCAATGTTTATATTATAGGAATATCCAAGTCCTTTAAGTCCTTACTTTAGATTTCTTTTGAATACAGATAATTTATGTTAAGACAACAAAAGTTGATCACAACTTCTGTTTCCTGGCGGATTAAGAGGGAGGAATGTACTAAATGACAATAAATGTGTTGCCTTGGTTCTCTAAACGTGTCAGTGCACTTGACCTGAATTCCTCGGTGTACATTAGCCGCCCGTGCTTGGTCCCTCTAGCCTAAGACCCACAAAGTGGGGATGCTCTGTGTCCTGGCTCTGGTGCAGGGCAGGGAATAGAGTGCTGGCTTGATTTTAAGGCCACAAAAAAAGACCTTTAACTTAGTCACTTAATTCAGTTACAGTGTGTAAATATACTTTATCAAGAAAATTTATTGTAAACAAAATTGCATACACACAAAAATGTAGAGCTGTAGAATGATTCTAATACAGATTTTACATTATTGCATGTGTTTTCCACTGGCAGTGCAGACAGAGATACCACTGGTCAAGTCCTTAGATACGGGCAGAACTTTCGCCTTGGGATAACAGGAGGAGTTGAAAACAAAATGGTGAGTTGTCACTTTGCATGTTTACTTTGGGTCAGTCATTTTCGTTTTCACGTGGGCCAGTAACTACCTTCTGAAGTGGACAGAGAACTCTACAGACATGAGCTCCGCCTCTGACATCCTTAGGGTTTCAGCCTGCAGCTTTCCACAGGCAGTTTTGGGCCAGTTCTTTCCTTCTAACTTTTCAAATTACAAAAATACAGGCTTAGAAGCTAAAGAGTAAGGGAGGAAAACCTTTTTGCAATGCAGCTGGTAAAAAAGCAAAAGTTTATACCACTTCCGCCAGTAAATTAAATGATTAGATTGGTTAATGATCATCTCACACCTGTCAAATGCCACCAATGCTAGCAAGGTATATTATCTAACAACTTTTTGTTAAAACTATTGATTATCAAACTTCTGTCTAACATGAGAGAAGGACAGTATGAGATGCTTAAGTTTGCATAAGTCAGGGAGCTAAGTCTTTGAACTTTACTTTTACCTTGGAGATTAGGAAAAATAACAGAACCAGATAAACTGCAGATGCATACCTATGGGGTTGGAATTTGGACGAGCTATTTAACCTCTGCGAGTCCATTTCTCATCTATAAAATGGGGATTATTATGCCTACCTTACTACATGCCAGGCAGTGTTGTAAGTGCTTCACATATATTAACTAATCCTCCAAACAAGTCTATGAGGGACAGACTGTTTTACCTTTATTTTACTGTTGGGGAAACTGAGGCACAAAGAGGTTACTTGAGGTTTTCCCTCAAGTCACTCAGCTATTAAGTGGCAGAACTACACTACATAACATTTTTCATTGAATCGGAGATTCCATTATTATATGGTGTAGCATTATTATTATTATTTTTGATACTACTGAGAAAAAACAATGCTGCCAATTAAACCATGATATATCATTGATGGTAAGCTGCAGCCTGATTTTAAATGAAATACCAAATTATTGAAAGAGGGGAGTAAATCACCATCATTTTATTCAGGGATTAGATTATTAAATTTTGGCTTATTTTATTTTTGTTTCTCTGTGTATTCTTTTTTAAAACTTAGATATGACCATCATGTATATACAGATAGATTATTTTTTTCTCAAAGAGCATTCATCAAAGCTCTTTATGACAATAATGTTTAACAAGTGCATAATATATAATTGTGTAGAAGTATCACAATTTACCTAGCCTTTATTCTACTTTTCGGCAGTTGGGTTTGGTCCAATATTTCTCTATTATACATAAAGTTCCAGTATGCATCTGCATATAAATACTTAAAGCTTTCCTCACCCACTTCCAAATTAGGGGTTCTATCTAAGGATGAATACTTTTTGGCATGGGATTACGGAATCAAAGAAGACAAATGCATTTAAAGGTGTATTAGTCTGCTTTGTGTTGCTATAACAGAAATACCTGAGACTGGGTAATTTATAAAGAACAGAGGTTTATTTGGCTTATGACAGCTGCATCTGGCAAGGGCCTCAGGCTGCTTCTACTTATGGTGGAAAGCGGCAGGTACAAACAGATCACATGGCAAGGGGGGAAGCAAGAGAGAGAAAGAGAGAGAGAGAGAGAGAGAGAGAGAGAGAGAGAGGAGGTGCT